ACTGTGCAGCCTGGTATCATTCTGCAGGAAGGACTTACATCTGTGGTTTGCAGATTGCAAAGTGTCAACATTTTAAGACCACTTATTTATGTTGGTACAGTCATTGGTATAATTCTGTATTGTTCATATGGCACCAGTGGCTTTTCTGTCTGATAAGATTTTTGTACCATTCCTCCAACACAAGAATTCTGGGATCACACGTTCAAGGAAAGTTTGGCAAGAACCCAAAACAGAATCATACAATTCTAAGTGGTTTGACAATCTGGAATTCAGACTGGAATGGACTATAATGCAAGAACAAAGTAGCAGTTGGAGCACGGAGGAAGCACGTTTACAGATCAATTCATCTATACCTAAAAGACAATGGGCTACAAAGAAAAAAAGGTTCTTGGAGTGAGTGTTGTGTATAATGTATGCAAGTGTTGTATGTGTGTCTGTCCAAGTGTGTGTTTATATTGAATGACATAAAGTCTGCTTCTCCATAAGTCATTACCAAGAAAACTTCCCTTTCACCAGAATACATCCCCTTTAAGCCAGTTTTTCCTGCTTTCACTCATAGACAAAGCTTGGAAAACTGAACACCCAAAGGAGATGGCATGTCGGTGTGCTCCAGGGTGCAGTGTGTTGCTCTGTTGTGTTACTTCTCTGATTTCTTCCTGTCTTTGATCACATCTATAGTTCCTTATATCCCTTATTCCCTCTGAGACACTGGACATTGAAGATACTTGAATGGTAAAGCATGCTATGTTTGAATTAAGTCCTGCAAATGTTCATATATTGGAATCTTTTTAAAAGATTTATTATTATTATTATTATTATTATTATTATTATTATTATTATTATTTGGAAAGGTGGATATACAGAGAGGAGAGACAGAGAGGAAGATCTTCCATCCGATGATTCACTCCCCAAGTGAGCCGCAACAGCCGATGCTATTCCAATCTGAAGCCAGGAGCCTCTTCCTGGTCTTTGACACTAGTGCAGGGTCCCAAAGCCTTGGGCCGTCCTCGACTGCTTTCCCAGGCCACAGGCAGGGAGCTGGATGGGAAGTGGGGCCACTGGGATTAAAACCGGCGCCCATATGGGATCCCGGGTGTGCAAGGCGAGGACCTTAACTACTGTGCCACCGCGCCGGGCCCCATATATTGGAATCTTAATTCCCAACATAACAATACTGAGAGATGGAGGATTTTTCAGGAGAGATTAATGCATTTCTTGTGACAGTAGGTTCACTTTTACGAGAATATTTTGTTAAGTGGGTCTGTCCTTCATGTTCTATATCCACTTGTCCTTTTGCTTTCCACCATGAGTTGGAGCAGCGTATGACCCTATCCAGCCTTCAGAACCATGAGCAAGATATTTCTCTATTAACAAAATACCAGAATTGGGCATTTTGTTATAGCAACAGGAGACAGATTATTTCTGGGTTGATGAGTTTTTTCATCCAGGGAAATATGGACACATTCTTCCACAAAGGAGAGTTCTGAGGATTAAATGAGGTATTATTACAAAGCACAAGTGCAAGACATCTAAGAAGCTGTAATAATACTTCTATTATAGTATTGCCATTATTAGGCATTCAAATATCATCTGTAATTGTTATTAATATTCATGTCTTAAAATAGTTACGCTGTAAAGACAAGGAATCATGGCTCAGATAGGCTGCCAGCCTCACTCAGGGTCCACTTGTCCAGGCAATCAGCCCTATGCTCTTTCTTCATCCTTTTACCAGAAGCTCACATCCATAGAGCAGGGATAGTGTTACCAGGCAGGTAATGCGCACCTCACACAGTGCTCTGAGGACTGGAGTAGCTACAGAAATCAGCCCAATAGTCTTAAATTCCACTGTTCCCTCAGTAACAAATAATCCCAGCCAAGTGAAATCAGTCTGTTTCCCAGTTCCCAGAAGCCTTTGGAAGTATCTTGAGTGGGTTTCTACCCTCCTTTTTGCTAAGAGTCAGGCAATCATTCTGAAGGGTTTTCTCCAGAGGTCTTCAGAGGCTGCTTTAAGCAGCCCTAAGATGTTGTAGTTGGGTGGCCAAGATGTCTAAACAAGTAGGCTGGGATCACAGAATCCTGCAGTTGGAATCACACTAATTTCCGGGTGAAATCAGAGTTTCTTGCACATTGCTTTATTACAGAAATTATGCCTACTGATTTCCAACCTTTTCTGAATCAAGCTATAGTCACAACAGAAACAGCTGGCATCAGAGGACTTTACAAATATGGCAAATGATCATATAGGATCTTATCCCGCCTCCCCCCCGACCCCGGCAGAACGTCTCTTGCATCTGAAGCAGTACAATGGTGATATCACAAGAGTTGTCAATTTTTCCCGGCATCCAGTAGGAATGTTAGAGAGTAACTCTGACTCAGATGAGTTGACCCTGGGTGGCCTCAGGTTCTGGTTCTCCCTTCATGACAGAACTGAGACTGGTGTGATGGTTCAACGACTAAATCTTCATCTTGCACATACTGAGACCCCACGTGGACACTGGCTTGTGTCCTGGCTGCTGCACTTCCCATCCAGCTCCCTGCTTGTGGCCTGGGAAAGCAGTAGAGGATGGTCCAAAGCCTTGGGACCCTGTATTCACATGGGAGACCCGGAAGAAGCTCCTGGCTCCTGGTTTCAGATTACTGCAGTGGACAGAAGATCTTTCTATACCTCCTTCTCTTTGTAAATCTACCTTTCCAATAAAAATAAAAATAAATGAATCTTTTAAAAAAAAACATGACAGAGCTAAATTAACTGCTCTCCAAAGCCCATTGGCTGTAATAATTACCACTTTGTTTAATATAAAATTATCTGAATATTTGTTCACCGAAAAGGCAATGAGAGGACCCCTTCTTTAACTGTCTAGCTGTTTTAGACAACGACCATATGAAATCAGCATCTTTAACAGTCCCATCTTTATAGATGCATGCATTAAGGATGAGAATGGTTAGACGCTTTGCTCAGGATGATGCACTGAGCAAGAATTTACCTTGGTAGCATAATCCCAAAATATGCACTCCTAATCATTAACAATAACAATGAAAATTCTAGTGAACTACCATGCACAGTAAGAGTTTCAAATGCTTTCCTGGATGTCTCCATTTTTATCTATCAACAGTGTGTCTGTCAGTGCTCAGGCATCATGTAATGTATAGATAGATAGATAGATAGATAGATAGATAGATAGATAGATAGATAGATCGATCTAGACCTCTACTAAAGTCTTAGCATGCCAACCTTGGGCGTGTTCTAACAAATCATCTAGGCTGAGTATGTTTAACTCATCATTTTTGGCCATGCATTAAAGGGTCTATTAACCCAATGAAACAATGTACAAAATGGGGATGTGTATATACTTAATCTTGTGGGAGAGTTCAATGACCTATTTTGGATTTTCACAGAGGTCCACAAACTTCTAGAGTGTGCAACTCATCTATTGAAATTCAGTAAAACTGAGACTTTGAGTGAGCAACGAATTTGCCCAAGTACACACAAGGAGTGACAGAACTAGGTTCAGGCCCCAGATCATCAGAAACACATCCAGAGCTCTTGGCTACACCATACTGACCTAACATAGATCCACACAATAGGTATCAGTAGCGCGTAAGGGCCAAATGCTGTATTGAGGATAACACACATAGCTCATTAGCATTGGGCTTAGAAAATCATCGTGCTTCAAGTAACCAAGTTTAACCTTGAACCTCTACATCTTATAATTCTTTCAACGTTCTCAGCACTGATAATTACCACCATTTTGCCCATGTGCTTATCTGGTGTGAGTGAAAACTTAGCGCACATGTTTTATTCATATTTGGTCCAAGCTGCTTTCACCTAGCTCCAGTCCTAGCCTCTGTAAATATTTAAGGTGGTTAGGCATTGGTTCCTCAACATTTTAGTTGATTATGTCAATGCCACCAAATCTGACAACAGCTAAACTGCATAAAACAAAATAAGTTAATGGCTAATATTTGATAGAAATTGAAGTGTCTTGCAAAATTAAAATCAACCAAATCTGAACTGGATTTGGTAGAAATAAAGCCACAAAGGAAAGTTCATAATGGAAGCAGAAAAAATGGTATGAAGAATCACAACTGACGACAAATTAAGACATTCATATAAAAATTTATATGTCAACAAATTTAAGTCTATAAAATGATTTTGGTAAGATAAAAAGGAAGATGAAAAAAGTAGAAATAGTTTACCTGCACTGTAATGAACACTGATCTAAGAAGAAGAATGGCTTAATGAGCATTTATTAAGAAAAATGTTTCCTGGTTGCAGCTTTCAATGCTGTAATTGTAAGTATAGACCCCTGGTGGCAAATCACAGATATCAAAATGCCTTCCAGGTTAAGAATAGGTTCAAAATGATGGCATCAAAATAGGGAGGTTGACACCTCCTGTACTAGAACTTAGCAAGTGATGAGTGCAATAACTTGCAGTTGATGCTCCAACAAAGGAGGCAGATCAAGGTAGTTATGATCTTTACAATCACAGTGGAACAGCCAGCCAACCAGCCCAGATACATCCCTCTAGATACACCTTAACCCTACAAGCTCAATGAAAAAAAGAATGAAAAGATGATGATGGTTGTCAAGTGAGGAATTTCTTGAAGCAGCAGAAATTTCCTGTAGAATTTCCTATAAATCCAAAGCAAGACTGGTCTCTTTCCTCTTTGTCTCCTATTTACAGTGGAGCCCAGGAATTACTCAGCCCATGACACTTCCAGTACTGGGCACTGGTTCATGTGGCAGACCTGGGGACCTGTGTCCATTCACTGTCTTGGCCTCATCTTTCTTAACTGGCATGGGGGTTAATGGAGAATACAGCTCTCTCACATATGCTCCTGAGAACCAACTGCCAAATTTTCAGGAACTGTGAGAACTGGTTAATAAGCACAGCCATTAGTAAAACATTACAATAAGAATATAAATCTGTAACTAAATACACACATATCACATTAAAAAGAGATCACTAATATTCAAAACTCATCTCTTCTCTACTAGCTTTCTAGATCCTTCTGTCACCTGTGCTCCTGGAGTTGATTACCTCTGCTGCATGTGAGTGGCGCGACACGACATGGTGCTATGCTCCAGTGCATCCTTCCCAGCTCCATTACAGCTTAACATCAGCCCAGGTAGGTGTATCTATTCCACAGAAATTAGCAAATGCCATCTATATGGGTTTGTTTTGAATTTTGCTGACTGTTCAGATATAATAAAGTGATGTTATAAAAATAGATTATCCCTCAATTGTGACAACTCTGCAGCTGTTACACTGGGAAGTGCACAAAAACCTTGGGCGATACTCTTTCTGAATCAGCAAAAAAGCCACTCACATTCTTGACAAATGAGCGAGTTGCCAACATCTTTGCTGTTTCACTTTCTTATCTACTAACAGAACTATCAATCAATGTTCATGCCAAAATTATAGTTGTTATCCAACTGAAACCACATTTGAATCTAGGTATGAGTTCCACATAAATCAACATAGGCACTGACAATCAACTGACCTATATGGAACATGTAATAAAGAATTTTTACTTGTTGTAAATTGTGTACATCACACACTCTGCTTTTCATGAATCTGTTGTCTGATCCTAGGCTCTGCCTTCCTTTGGAGGCTTCTCCATCCATTTCCACAAGACCCCCAGAACCTAACACAGCCACCAGGCCTCTAGGCTTTGTGAGGTCATGGTGGGCCTAGGGAGGTGCCTGGAAGCCTCAGGTCAGAGGAGAGGAAGGCCTGTGTTTAGAGTGAGAGTTGGCTCCAAAATAGCTTTTGTCTGCTCAGGGCCTTTATTTATTTTCACACCAGCCTAAGGCCTTTGACCCCAGTTGGAAGTCAAAGGATGGGAAGAAAGATTCTTTTCTGTCCGGGGGATTGGTCACACAGTGGGCAGAGGAAAAGCTTCAGGATGCCATGAAGGTCAGCAGTCCAGCCTGATCCTAGAGCCAGAGAATGACAGCTCATGTCAAAGCTGCCAAGAAAATGACCCCAACTTCTTTCTGGAAGTGGCACGTTCTGAGTCGGCAGAAAGCCTACACTCACAAGGGGATCTCCTGTTTTACCTTAGGCTGGTCAAATAGGGGACATATTTATTTATTTCATTATTTATCCATATTTGACTCACACTCTAAATAATGTCTACAGCCCAGTCATTCAGTTATCACTTATCAAATAAATAAAATATTGAGCACCTTCCATGATTCAGGCACTGTTCTAGTGCTGTGGATGTGATAGGAACTCAGGCAGTGTTTGACTTCATTGCATATAAGGCCAAGTAAACAATGTGGACATTGTACTGGTTTTACATTGAGCTACATAAGAGTTGAAAGTACTTTCTCTACAACTTTCAAATTGGATTCATTCCTGACTCAAAAACAAGCACTTTCCTAAAATATCTGTCAGTACAATAGCAATAATACCCAGCATTTTTATATGTCAGACCCTTCACATTTATTAACTCATTTGATCCTCAAAAACAGCTCGTGAAATAAACACTATCATCATCCCCAGTTTACCAAAGATGGAAATGATTAAACACTTGTCTGGGGGTCACACAATTGATAAGCAATAGACTTGGCTGAGGCGATCATTATTCGTCCCAGTCAGTAGCGTCAAATGAACACCCATCTAGCTCAAGTCCCACAAATTTTAGCAAAAATCTAGCTTAAGCTTCATACAATAACTTCAACTCAGAGGAGTTTATAATGGAATCCTGACTACCACTTTTCTATACATAGAACTTTGAATAAGAGTTATTTTTTATTAAGTTTCTCTAAAGTTGTTTATGGTATACTATGTAAACAATTATATACTATAAAATGACTTCTTAGGAGTGGGTGAAATTGTTAAGGAGAGTCGATGATATAACAGTAGTACAAAATTTGTCATAGTCCAAGCTGAAATGATGTGAAAGATGAAGAAGTTCATCAGAGGGCCAAGTCCTACCCAGGATCCCCTGGACTCCATGAAATCAGCTACTGCCAATACCTTGGTCACTGGAAAGTGGACCTAGCACACAGGAGCTATTGAATATTGGTTGATAGATTGGTTGGCTGCATCTGGCTGTTCATGTTAGTAGACAGATGGATAGAAGGATAGATCAATGGACTCAGACTCTTCTTTGTAGTGTTTCTTTTCCATGTATCCTGTCTTCACTAAGCTGACAGGAACTTAAGAACAGGGGCTAAGTATTTTGCAATGCAACGCATTACACCCACAATTAAACTCTTCATGGGAGCAGTCTAGGAAATTCAAAATAATGGTCTAGCCAATTAGACCTAAGACTATCCTAAAGGTGTCATCGGTCCCCTAGTGACCTTTATTTCATAGAACTTTCATTCCTGTGACATTTGGTGTAATAATACTTACATAAGACTTCTTCCCTGAGAATTATTCTGGTCATTCTGCTTCCTTAAGAGAAAGGGAAATTAGCAAGCATTCATAGGGAAAATATTTCTCTTCAAGATTCTAAATTCAGGACTCAGCACAATAGCCCGATGACTAAATTTTCACCTTGCATGTGCTGGCATCCCATATGGGCACCAGTCCATATCCCAGCTGCTCCACATTTTGCGGAGCTCCCCACCTGTGGCCTGGGAAAGCAGTGGAGGACAAACCAAAGCCTCTGGACCCTGCGTACATGTGGGAGAGGGAGACCTGGAGGAAGTTCCTGGCTCCTGGCTTTGGATTGGCTTACCTCTAATTGTTGTGGTTACTTGGGGAGTGAACCAGCAAATAGACGATATTTCTCTCTGTACCTCCTTCTCTCTATCTGCCTTTCCAATATATATATATACCATATATATATTATATATATATATTCTGGTTACATATTTTCTCTTTCTATATATATATATATTTAATAAATTTTAGAAATAGAAAATATGTAACCACAATTACACAATTGTTAAAAACCCTGATTTTATAGTCAGACAAAACTGGTTTTGAATCTCTATAAATGTCTTATCTACTGAGCTTTAATTCTTTCACCTGGAAAGTGGGGGGACAGTGACACCTTGTTTAGGTTATCTGGAGGATCATACTGCAGGTGAATTACTTAGCACAGTTCCCAGAACAGGCTTAATAAATGACCATGATTATCTCTATGATAAGTGCTACCTATTTGAAAATTAGGAAGAGACTCACTATGCCTACAGAAACACAGTCTAAATAAGTGAAAATCTTATTATTCTTAATGAAATTACACTGGTTATCTGCCTTATTGCATAAGCAGTGCCATTAATCAATTTCACAACCACTCCTGAACAATATCCAGGTAGATTACGGTTTTGATAATTTCTCTCCCTCATATGTTATGAGAAGAGGACAAATCTTTAATTCAAAATTTCATCCATTCATATTTTTCAATTCACCTATTCAGCAAATCTTGGTTGAAAATCTGCCTATGTCAGACATGGGGCCAGGCTCTGAGAACAGATGAAAGATACAGGCAAGGCCCCTGTACTTCTTAAAGCTTCCCATCTAGGAGGCACACAAGTATTATTAAAAAAAAAAGTAAACTACACAAAATACTGTTTGAAGTTTATATAGGATAAATAGAAGGAGCTAAGACACACACAAAGAACAAATCTGGTCTAAGCAAAACAGACTTTATGTAACGGGTAAGAGAATGGAAGGCACAGGATTTGGGAGAGGGTCAGACTATGTCTATATAATCCCTTAAGGCTTTAAACCAATCAGAAATGCAGCTCCTCCTCAGTCATCCTTCTGTTTCCCTTCACGTGCTAGAGTCCCAAAGTCACATGTCCTAGCGCAGACAAAAGCCAGTTTTGTTTTATGAATAAATGGCTGTTTTGCCACCAGGATTACCATGCAGCTGTCATTTCAGCCTGGCCCAGGCAGCTCCCACGGACAGGAAAATAGAGGTGGCTAGGGTCACTGCCAACTGGGATGGTGTTCAGAGCTCTTGCGGCCTGTGCTGTAGGCATGTCTATGAGGCAGATATGTCTATTCTGTCCCAAGATGAACAAATAGAAAAAGTTCCCAATTCCTAAGAAGCTTTAAAAACAAAAGATTCACCTTCACACGCAACATTTGGGCAATGGATTAAAGGCGAAGTGGTTGAGAAAAGCTTTCATCACATTTAAATATGGCACTCTACTTTTAGAAGGTCAAGATATAGAGGAGATCTTCAGGTTAAAAAGTAATTTTAATGGTGATGGCAAAAATTTATAATTCCCCCCCCCAAAAAAATAGAATAGAAGGTTAAAAGACAGGGCAGGTGCTTAGCCTAGAGGTTAAGATTGGGGTATCAGTGTCCCACATTAGAGCACCTGGGTTCAATGTCCAGCACTGGCTCCTGATTCTGTCTTCCTGTTAATACAGAAGCTGGGAGGCAAAGATGATAGTTCAAGTAATTGGTACACACACACACACACACACACACACACACATGCATGCACATGCCTGCCTCTCAGATATTTAGAAAGAGAACAGATGAACACCTTGATAAATGACAAACTGCTCTACTTATGAATACAAGTTAAAGCCTTTCAACATGAACATGGGATTCTCCCAGGCTATTTGTTTTACAAGGCACATTTGGAGGAGAAGGATGCCCCTGCCAGCTTTGCTATGATGACCAAAACAGGTTACTCTCCTGTTTGTGATTCTTTCTGCTGCAGATCTCACTTATGCTACTTACTAAGCTTCGGCCAACTATTTCCATCCTTAAACCATGGTGGTGGTGGTAGCAGTATCTGATGCAAGATGTTGTTGGGTTACAAGACAGAGGCCTCACAAAGAGTTTTCATAGGATCTAATGCATTATATGCATTCAATACCAACTGCTATTTTTATTTTCAGAAACTTGCATCCTCTCGTATCAAAAGTTGTGTAGCAAATAGAGACCTTCCTCCAAAGCAGTGCTTTGCAAACTGCAGGTTGGTGAATGAGGAATTCAATTTGTAAGTCTTTTTTTTTTTAAGATTTATTTATTTTTATTGGAAAGTCAGATATACAAAGAGGAGAGACACAGAGGAAGATCTTCAGTCCGATGATTCACTCCCCAAGCAGCCGCAACAGCTGGAGCTGAGCCAATCCGAAGCCAGGAGCCAGGAGACCCCTCCAGGTCTCCCACACGGGTGCAGGGTTCCAAGGCCTTAGGCTGTCCTCAACTGCTTTTCCAGGCCACAAGCAGGGAGCTGAATGTGAAGTGGAGCTACCGGGATTAGAACCGGTGCCCATATGGGATCCTGGGCATACAAGGCGAGGACTTTAACCACTATGCTATCGTGCCAGGCCCCCATTTTGTAAATCTTAAACTGGATATTTAAGAACTAGATTAGAATTTTTAAACAATTAGATCAGAGTACATTTCGTGTTGTAAGGACTAAATGGTGCTTTGTCAAACATGATATGTGTGTATGCATAGTAGAATGCAATGTAACACGCATTTCTTACAATGCCTACAGCCAAGGAAGGTTTGAAAAATACCAAGTATCAAATACAGCGCAGTCTGGTAATAAGTTCCATGTTCTATTTAGGAAAGGCATTACTGCCCCCTGCTGGAACTCATGATTTCTCGTAGATTATTCATGTGAACTCAGCCACCCTTCCCACCCCTCTGGAAGTTCACCTGGAAGAATATCACCCCTTGAGCACCCCTGCTGTCCCAGATGACAAGTCAAAGACCACACTGGAGGCAAGAGTTGCAGTTCCTCTCCACTTAAAACAATGCTGGCAGTAGACTCTTGGGGAACTAAGCTGTCAGACCCCCTAATGGAGTCTCAGCTGTTATGCTCCATCACAGCTGGGCAGAGTCCCCACCCCATACCCAGCAGCTTGTCTCTGTTTCTCTGGGAAGAAGATACCCACTGAGAGGAAATAAGAAAAATGTCTCACGGCCAGAATTTCCAACAGACTCCATTTTCTAATCTCCTAAATTCTGAAATAATGGTGCAGGGCTGGAAACTGGAGACGTATGAACCAGAAAAGCTATGCTGTCCTGCCCAAGAGGTAACACCACAGAAACAGCACTTTACAAACATATCCACTTTAGGGCAGGCCCAGCACCAGGGAGCCTAACAATCTCTTTCCTAATGACAGGTGCATTGCACAGAGACGCAGACCTAGCCACCTGCATGTGGTAGGTATCACAATCAAAACTGCAGGCAGAGGAATGATTGAGGCTTAAGGAGATAAAGCAATGTGCTGCAGTCCCTAAGTGAGGCCTGCTTCAGACCCAAGAACCCATGAATGTAAGCCTACCACTCCAGCATAGCTCCGAGGCTAGTGGCATTTCTTAATGTCAAGGCTTCCATCCAGACAGAAATAAAACGTGACTGAATTGCAAAGTGGCAGATAAAACCCAGTATGGAAAAAAGTCTAAAGCTTAGCTTTAAAATAAATAAACTGATGGGCGAGGTCATAGTAGGTATTTTTTAGAATATAAACTATTATATTAGCTCTCTTTAAAAATAGCCTCATTTGTTTTGAGTTCTGAATTAGGCTTCTTTCTTCCTTGAATAGTCTGGTCCTCAAAGATAGATTTGTTTCAGCCATTTCCTTGTCTGTGAAATAGACAGTAAACAAATCTTTATCAGATCATCTCATATTTATACTGTGTGCCAGGCACTGTGTGTACTTGGTCCTTTTACATATATAATTCTGACAGCATTGGGCTCAGAGAGATTACTCAACTTGCTGCAGCTTACACACTAGTTAGAGATCCTACCCCAGGTATACCCAACCTCCAAACCCAGGGCCAGTACAGACCCTATTTCCTTGAATGACATGACCTTTATTCACACCAGCAGTGTGCATATAGTCTTGATACCAGCAACTATCTAAAGGAAAAGAGGACCAAACTGTTCAAAGTCACGGGAGACAAGGAATGACTAAGAAACTGTCACAGATCTGAAACATGACAATCAAATGTATTCCGGCACCCTAGATTTCATCCTGGGTCAGGAAAAGGATAATAGTGAAGAAAAAGGATATTGTGAGATCACAACAAAGGCTGGAGTATTGGGGCAACAGCCTGACTCCAGAGCTTTCCCACCTTCCTGTCTGCTGCCAGGTAATACATTCTCATGCTGCTTCCAGAATTTTCCCAAAACACAAACTTGAGCATGTCTCTCTCTCACACTTCAAACCTCTTCCTCAAGGCAAAGCCTAAAGCCTTTCAGGGGTTTCACTCTTCCAATCTCTTCTCCCTACTTAAAGTCTGCTCCAGTCTAGCTGAGCTCTGCTTGACACATACCCTGCCTTGTCAACACCAACCTGCTGGCCTGCAGTTAGAACCGAGTAGAACCCTTCCAGCCTACAAGTGGCCTGCAATTCCGGTATCTCCCATCAGAGCATATAGGGTTTGGATCCCAGCTGCTTTTTCCATTCTCTTCCC